GCACCCTGTCCCCCCATGGGCTCCTCCTTTACATTTACAGCGGCACCCTGTCCCCCCATGGGCTCCTCCTTTACATTTACAGCAGGACTCTGTCCCCCCCATGCGCTCCTCCTTTACATTTACATCCGCACCCTGTCCCCCCATGGGCTCCTCCTTTACATTTACAGCAGGACCCTGTCCCCCCCATGGGCTCCTCTTTTATCCACTACGCTGCTAATGTCCCTGCTACAAGGCACTGCACTGCATTACACTTGCTGTGACAGCCCTCACTCCCAGCCATAGCACATGCCCAGACAGCATTCAAAAACAGCAGTGACTCCTTACATAACTATGCATGACTACGTACATGACACAAACAGCCCTTCTCATGTTTACATCCCTTCTTTTATCACGGCCTTGTTAGCACTATGCACAGTGCCAGACGAACCACAACCCTCAAGCAGTGTGCCTACTGCACCTGCTGAGACTCACCACCCATCAAATGCACAAACAAAGACATGAAGACATGGAGGACATCTTCGGAAAAGGCCCGCCATTTTCCTGGGGATTCCTATGCATCGTTTTGCACTGTGTGTTTGTATTTAGGCACTTTATGTGTGTATGTGCAACCCGATCTCACGAATTTTCGTGCAGCCATCATGACATAAAATCTATTTAAACGTGCTGTGATCACATTTTCGGCTTTTTTTACGTGCTGGGGTAACGTTTCCCCTCCCTATGTGTTTTAATGGGCAGTGCCTAACACCGCCACTATGAGCGCTAACTGGTGACTAAGGGACGGGAAAGTCATGCATGGCCAGAATCATATTTTGTTTTTTGTGATCTGATAACGCTTTCCATAACGTGTGACGCGACCTTGCAAAACAGCGCTTGGATTTTACTTCTGTTAATAATTCCTTTTGAATAATGTCCGGGATTTCCCTCCATACACTAACTCATTCATGCAACAGAAGTAAAATCCAAGCGCTGTTTTGCAAGGTCGCGTCAAAAACACTCGCTTGGCAAAAACAAGGTCGCTTAACAAAAACAAAACATTTAGGTGTAAATTTGGTGGGCCGGGAACCAATAGATTTTATGTCGTGATGGCTGCACGAAAATTCGTGAGATCGGGTTGGTATGTGTGTGTGTGTGTGTATATATATCATTTCGGTACCAATGGGGATTGTTCTTAATGTGATGTAATAATGTAACAACTGGCCATTAATGTCATAACTTATATTATCGGCAAAAAGTTATTATGTTATTGGTTTAGAAAAAGTATTACATTGGAATTATTATGTTATTGCCATTTATTACATTATTGCCTTCTACCTGTTGTAGTACCATGGGGAACAAAACGGTTCAAGGACTGTACAGGACCTTTTTTTCTGACAGTGCAGACGGTTTAGAAATGGACAATACTGGGCACCATTACCACTCTCTAGGAATGATGTCATAAAGATCAGTGTAAGGACCGTAAGAAAACTACAAAAGTGCCCATTTGCCATTAGGTTACCATGGAGGAAACCACTGCCCTCCAGAAGAAGTTTGCTAAAGACACTCTGAATGGTTCACTACTGGGGCAATTTTCTGTAGACAGATGAGATGAAAGTTGAACATTTTAGCAAATGTACCCTGTGTTGTGTTTGAAGAAAACAAAACAGTGCATAGCAACAGCAAAGGCTCATGCCCAGTGTGAAGCCCAGTGACAGTGTCACAGTGTGGGGCTGCTGTGCTGGTTTAGGGCCTGGGAGCTGCAATCAGTGAGGAACCAATGAAAGCTGCTTTGAGTGTAGCTCAAACAGAATAAATTCCCTATGTGAGAACAACTAAACTCAGTCCCATTGAATCACTGTGGCTGATCTGAAGCAGGGCCTTCAAGCGAGACACTGCAGAAATATACAGGAACCAAAGCATTTTGTGTAAAGGAATGGGCAAAGTGCCTAAGCAGTGCACAGGTCTGATCAGCCACTGCAGACAGTGTTCGGCTATGGTTAATGCCAATGAAGGAGGTCTGATCACCCACTGCAGACAGTGTTCGGCTGTGGTTATTGCCAATGAAGGAGGTCTGATCAGCCACTGCAGACAGTGTTCGGCTGTGGTTATTGCCAATGAAGGAGGTCTGATCAGCCACTGCAGACAGTGTTCGGATGTGGTTAATGCCAATGAAGGAGGTCTGATCAGCCACTACAGACAGTGTTCAGCTGTGGTTAATGCCAATGAAGGAGGTCTGATCACACTCTTTTTCCAATGAATGTTATTTTTTAAACCGCTTAACTTTGTGTGTAACTTAACTTTGTGTGTATTTATTAAATAAGACTGTCTTAATTATAACTTATCAAGGCCATTCATGCAGAAATCCAGATAATTCCAAAAGACTCAAAAACATTTTCTCTGTACACTGTACATACATACTGATTAATTGACGCCTTGTAAGCTGGGTAATGATTAGATTTTAACTTCAAAGGGTCAGTGGCTTGGTGATTGTTTCTGGCTGTAGTGGGAAATATCTTATTCTTCCTAGAATTTTCACACATTTTCCAGTCATTGTTAAATGAGTGTCCACCTGTCCGAAAGACACAACAGCATGTCCTGCTCAAACACATGATACACAGCCTGTCTCTGACCAGTATCCAACACTTACGTGTTTCCCAGTTTCAATGACTCACTGCCCTTACTTTGCCAAAATGTCACTGTACAGCCTACATTTTATTTCTTCTACAAATAACAAATAACAATGCTACTTCAACAGAAAACGCAATAAATGTATAAAAATAAAGACACATGACTTACTTAAATACACCAGTAATGTTTGCCTCAAAACAGAAAGTCAGTGTTCTGTCTTCCTCCACCTTCCGGAGTTTCTCGCTGTACCTGTGGACCGGGCAGGTGAGGCAGCCCTATTGTGGATTACAAACAATCTGTGGGCTGGATTTTGAGAGGAGAGAAGCTGGTGGGTGTGGCGCATGTCTTTGCATGCCTTAGCATGCATGTTGGACCTTCCCCCCCACCTGCGTGCCTGATGTGTCGACATCTCTGGCTGGGAGAATATGTTCCTTCTCGATAACTTCTAGCTAGGCACTTCTGCTTCCGTCTGTGGCTGGACAGATACCAAAACAGGTCCACCAAGGGAATGCTGGGTAAGACAAGCGGCAGAAGCAAGAGGGGCTGAAGCAGAACATCAGTGTTTTAAAGCAGCATAAAGCATATTTTGAAGCTGGAATAGACCTTGCAGGGTCATGTTCCAAATGGAAGATTCTCTTTTAATCTCTGAAGGTATTTTACTTCTGTGTGGCAAACAAGACCTCTCCCCACTCTTCCATGCCCACAGCTTCCCCCGAGATCGCCCATGCAACCCAGCCACACCCACCAGGATCTTTGGCTGCCGAAGATCGTCACACTTGATTGTTGGGTTCTTGTGCAAGGAAGGAGGGGCATGGGCAGGGGGAGGGCATTTTTAAGCCAAAAAAAATATTCATTTTCTGACAAACACAAAGATGCCTTTATAAATGCAGCATAACGTGAAGCTGCCTTTGTTCTCCTTACTGCCTCAGCTTGTGAATGTAGCTCATTCTGAGACACACCCTTCATACAGTCATAAACTAAAGGTGGAGCAAACCCTTCAAACGCATCACTAATTCTTCAAAACATTCTACTCAAAGGCAATGAATGCATGGCTCAGATTGTACACAGGTTCCTTAGTTTAAGGCCAGCCTTTTCAAGCGAAACCCTTAACAAAGGCAGAGCAGTAAAGGACTTCCTGCAGCAGCTCCAGCCCGAGTGCTGGCTGGGCGTGTCACCCGCTGCTGCGTGCAGGATGTGTTCCAGCAGGTCGTTGCGTGCCGTCCTCCCTGCAGTTCCCGACATGTCTGTGAGGAACAGATGCAGCTCTGCCTATCTCACATCTCTCAAATCTCCTGCTGTAACCTCCCGAAATGAAACAAAGTGTTCAGCTTCACAGGACAGCTGACCACGACAGGCACAGGGGGGGCACAAGGGTTCTGTGAGGGTGGTACCATCGTTTCCTGCACTGTCTGCTGCTTCTGAGGATGTCCTATCGGGAAAGGGAAAGCTGGGTTCATCCACCCTCAGGCGGGTCCCTGCAAAGCCGGTCCGTTCAACTCTGTCGTGGCTGTGAGGCTGTTCACTCTAATGCCAGGGGGTGCACATTCCTGAGGCCTCCATCTGCCCAGAGCTGTTATACATGCTAAACAAGAAACATAAAGTGCAAATCCCACTGTGTGAGGGTACTTTTGGAGCATGCCGAAACCAGCCTCACGTTCCGCTGGACTGGGAGCATGTCGCCGAAACCAGCCTCACGTTCCGCTGGACTGGGAGCATGTCGCCGAAACCAGCCTCACGTTCCGCTGGACAGGGAGCATGTCGCCGAACACATCTCAGCAGTACTGGTCAAACCCTACACATCTCAGCAGTACTGGTCAAGCCCTACACATCTCAGTAGTACTGGTCAAGCCCTACACATTTCAGTAGTACTGGTCAAGCCCTACACATCTCAGCAGTACTGGTCAAGCCCTACACATCTCAGCAGTACTGATCAAGCCCTACACATCTCCCTCGACTGATTCAGCAGTGCCATACGAACCATAACCATCATGCAGTATGACCTGCACCTGTTCTTCCTCACCTCCCACCAAATGCACAAACAAAGACATGGAGGACACGTTTGGGAAATCGGTCCTGTTTTCCTGGGTATTCCTGCAGCCCATGAATATGTCAGCAAATTGGTGTCACTTAATAGCCTACAGTGAGTGCTTGCGTTTTTCATGAGAAACCTAAACTGGATAAACAGTCATAAAAATCAAGAATGTCAGCAGGCAGACAGACCTGATGGGCACCGGTGCCACACGGCTTTTCACAGGCAGGCGAGGGGGACATCTGATGGGCACAGGTGACATACTTATGGCCACGCTACATAGACTGTATCAGCACTGTTAGGGTACAGAGAATACCCAGAGCAGTAATGCCAGGGGAGATAAAAATGTCAAATCACAGATTTGAGATATCAAACAGAAAACATCATCTGTGATGGACAATGTTCTACCAGGAACATTTTAGAAACCCTGCAGTTTCCATGAAGACAAAGGCAGCAACAGAGAAAAGGAGCAAACAGATGAGTCACACAGAGACTCTCTCTACCTTTACTGATTCAGTCAAAGAAAAAAATGAATGCCACAGAATTAAATGAAAAGGAATGAATCTCATGTTTTTATGAATAACTTTATTTTGTGTTTGTAAACAGGACAGATCTAATCACCATAGTAAATGCATTTTGACAGCACTGATGAACAGGAATTCACAACCACAACTTACCCCATGATAAAGAAAGCTGAAATAGCCAATTGTTTCACCCTCGTTAACAGAATTGGCAAAAATATTTTGTGTACCATATTGAAAATTGTGGCAAAACGACAGCTCATTACCTAGTGATATACAGTTTATACAAAAATACATTTTTAAAAAGAATAAATGTACAGTACTGTGCAAAAGTCTTAGGCAGCCAAAGATAATTATGTTATAATGATTTTACGTTTCTGTAAAACTCTGCTATTATGCCTGTCAAAGTGTGTCAGCTTAGCCATTTCAAACCCTCTGCTAAAATCACCCCAGTGTTTGCAGCAACCACTCAATACACCCAAGTATTTTTCAACTTGACCACTAGCTAATCAGTATCTCTCTGACTTTTTAACTAATTGAGCTGCTGATGAAATTTAATAAATACATGGAATGGCTGAGGTGCCCCTGAGGAGAGGTTTGGGAACTGAAGCGGTGTTCATCTAGCTGTCCAACTAGATATCAGTAACTTTTTGGAGAACAGAAGATATTTTTACAAGTATTTATTGTGTTACTCTTTTTGTCCCACATGTTCTAATGTTAAAATGTGTTTTGTTCTGAGCAAATGTGCACTAACAAACAAGCTAACTAAACAGACAAACAGCTTGAAACTTTTCTTTTGACTGCTTAAGACTTTTGCATAACAATATACATGTGACGTATAGACAGAGTTTATGAAGTATTGGATGTTGATCTTGATGTGAAATAATCATAAAAGTCACAAAATGACATCTGAAGGGTTCCAGTACCCCAACCCTGAAATAACCCTCCTTGAAAAGTGGCCCCTAATACAGTGGAATGAACACGCTTCCCCTGTCAAAACATTCAGCACAAACACTGCTTTCTAAATCCTCAGCATTTCCAAACCAAAGGCCACCAGATGCTCAGAATGCTACACTGGTAATGGTGCAATGCTGGAGACTTCCTGAAATGTATCCCATTAACTGGAATCTTATCAAAACTCTTTTCAATTCAGTTTCATACCCAGTCTCCACACCGTCAAGAATGAATTTGTGGTTTACATTTAGCTAAAAAAAATTATATTTTATATATGTAGCTATATAGCTATATCTGTCTAAAAACACATTTCAAACAAATCAGTTTGTGTTTCTAGCTGAAAAATATGCAGGGCTTCTTGTGAGCACTGATGAAATGTTACAGGTTATGTAACAGACTAGGGTTTTCCTGCTTTCCAAATTCTCAAGGAAGTCTAGAGGGAGTTCGGCACCCTGATAACAGCAGTCAGGCTGCGATGTTTGTGCCCATCCGCATTGTTCCTCTGCTCGTTCACGCAGCCTTGAGCCCCCCCTGCCTGAGGCCAGAGTCAACACAGGCAGCAGTGCAGGCGAGCACAGAAACGGCCAGCCGGTGGACGGGCCTACCCCTCCTTGCCGTTGACCAACGTGGTCGTCACCGTGAGCTGCCGAGAGTATTGGGGTGAGAGCACACACTCACAGCAACGCTTTCCCACAAGGTAGAAGATTTCCAGCAGGGACAGAATCACACACACCAGGCTAGTGACCACCATGAAGATGGTGAAGATGCGCTTTTCGGTAGGCCGAGCGATGAAGCAGTCCACCACGTTGGGGCAGGGGTCTTCCTTGCACTTGATGAGGGCAGGGAAGTTGTATCCCTCATACATGTAGTACAGCAGGAACACAAAGACCGAGTCCACAACCATCTTGAAGATCAGCGTCAGGATGTAGGTCCACCAGAGGCCTCCGCGCTTCTTGCCCGTGTCACTGTAGAGGCGGCCGCAGCCCTCGCCGTGCTTGGCGCGGTACTTTCGCTCGCGGTCCTCGCGGTACGCCACGTGCATCACCACCAGCAGCGAGGGGCAGGTGACAAAGATGAGTTGCAGTGCCCATAGGCGCACGTGCGACACGGGGAAATAGAAGTCGTAGCAGACATTGTGGCAGCCGGGTTGAATCGTGTTGCAGCTGAAATCCTTCTGCTCGTCGCCCCACACCTTCTCCGCTGCCACCACGAACACCATCAGGCGAAAGAGGAATACGACAGACAGCCACATGCGACCGAATGCCGTCGAATACTTGTTGACCCCACTCAGGAGGCCTTGGAGGAAAGCCCAGTTCATGTCGACGCCAGAAGTGCTCCAAATAACAAAGCTGACAGGACAGCAGCGCTGGGAGAAGAGCCTGCGCTCTGTGAAAGAGATAAGCTCTCAGCTCTCGCTGAGGACAATCAGGAGACAATCCCGGGTCCCTTTACACAAGCTGGGGAAGACAGCCGGGCTTTACCATTATTAATATTAACAAGTTTTACGACTGGGATTGGATATTAAAGATCAACTGCAGGTCATAACCAAAACAAATTTTAAAAACTACACCTTCACTGATGTTGTTAAAACCCCGAGACAACACTTCATCAAAGTTACTTTCACCCAGATATACTCGAGGATATACAAAATATATAGTGTATAACAAAAATGTAATGCTACATCTCAACTTACGACAAAAGAAAATATGCGGATATAACGAAAAGTCAGTTATTTATTACTTACACTCGCAACGGGATGGCAGCCGGAGTCGCGCCTCTGAAGACAAAACAGCCCCATTCCGGCTTTCCCCGGGTGAGGGGCGTGGTCTGGACGCGGTGTGGTGAGTGGGGCGGGCAGTGGGCTCCCACGGGCTGTGGCTGTGACGCAGCTTCGAAAGTCGTATGACGCGAATATGCACGTTGCTGGGGGTGGCTAAAAAACATTGAGTAGGTAAAAAGATCATCCACCCTTTGCGATATGTTACCATAGAGACTACCTACCTACCTTAGCCCTACCTACCTTTCTATAATTTCTTATAGGGTTTTCAATTTCAATCGGAAATACGGAACCCCACCACAGAGTGCAAATTTTCATTTTTTTTGTATTAGACCAAAACAGGACAGAGCATTTTATATTTATTTAATGGAAGATGCCATAAGCCAGGAATTTTGTTCTGTTAGCATATATCTCCTTTTCAGAATGTTTTACCAGCGTTCAAAACTAGAGGTATGTTGTTCCGATAATAAACACTATTCTGATTGGGTACATTTCCTTATTAGGACACATTCCCTACGTTAAAAATACAGTTTATTCTGACATCGTAAATTTCCTTATCACGGTACTTCACCCTCTTTAAAATATGTAGGTATGTTATTTTGATTAAGTTTGACAGACAGATAGTTGTAGCAATACATTTGCACTATACGTATGCTATACTGATAAAGTCAGAAAAACGGCACCCCCGTCAGCCACTGACACTAATTCTGTGGTAAGCACTGGGTATAAATTAAGGGTGTAACCTGTCTGAAACCGAGACCAAAACCGCGATACAAACGTTCATGATTTCATATAGCGACACCCCACCAACCTCAATTTGCTACTCCAAGTGCAGCTTTATTAAGCTCTCATTACGTTACTAATGTTACAAAAATCATTTTTAATTTACAAAAACATTATCACACTATAACAAAAAAATATTATTTAAAGATAGGGTAAGCTGTATATTTTGTAAATATTATGCATTACTAGGCCTGTAATGGTACATGTATTTGTTGTGTACGTTACTATTTTACGTATTTTTACATTTTCAAATGACAAATTACTTGTATTTTAATTAAATACATCTTCTCACACCAGTACTTTGTATTTTATTTTGTTACATGTTACAACATGTTGATGAGCAAGTTTTTTGTAATGTACCAAGAGAGTTTTTGATATATTTGTGCCCACTTCTGTGAACAATTCTATGCTTCCACCTTCATGGGAACAGGAAGGGCCTTTTCTGTTCCAGCATAACTGTGCCCCAGTGCAGAAAGCAAAGTTCATAAAGACATGATTGGGTGAGTTTGGTGTGGAAGAACGTGTCTGGCTCTGACCTCAACCCCATCGAGCACCTTTGGGATGAACTACAATGGAGATTGTGAGCCAGGCCTTCACATCCAACATCAGTGCCTAACCTCACAAATGCTCTTCTGGATGAATGGCCAAAAATTCCCACAGACAAACTCCAAAATCTTTGATTGATGGCCATAGGAGAGTGTGCCATACTGGACTAACCGGAGTATATTACAGTCCTTTTTGGGTGTCTTTCCACTGCACCAGGAACCATACATTAGGTACTTCAAGGGGCTGGTTTTCCACTGCACCGGGAACCATACATCAGGTACTTGAAGGGGCTGGTTTTCCACTGCACCAGGAACCATACATTAGGTACTTCAAGGGGCTGGTTTTCCACAGCTGTAAAAACTGGTACTGCAGCAGAATGACATCACAACATGAGCAGGGGTATTTTGTACGGAATTTGAAAAATGGCTGTAGTATATTATAGGGCTGGATGATGTGTGATATGAATATCGACATCGCATATTATGCACATGGAGTTCTTTCCTCGCTAGTCAGCTAGATTAAGATCAGGCTTTTTGATGCCTTCATACTGTATGGATGATATAGCACAGGGGTTTAAAGTTTTACTTAAACGTTTGTACTCCGTCAAATAAAAAAACAAAATGTAGCACATTTTGCTATTTTAATAATTTTACCTTTGCACAATTATTTAGTATATGTTTAAAAAATCACTTTAAAGTTTACCTCTGCCTTTGCATGAGCACTGCACACGTTCTCTGAGACAGTCATAATCATTTTCATCCTCACTGTTTAAATCATTCCTAGATGGGTTTGTGAGAAATTTATGTTGAACTCCTTTTTAGCTTTATAAATACCCCAGTTTTTATGACAAGAAAATCACATTGGCATAATTGAAAATCTGCCCTGGTATATTATACAAAACACTTTTTTATTGCTTGTTATGCCATCTTGATCTTGCTGTATCTGTTCTTTTGATCAGATTGCAATTGCAGAATGCAAGTGTTCATTTGTCCACACATCCATTACTATTACTTTTTTTTTTTTACTTCATTTATTGCTTTCTGACTTCATAAGTTTTTTCAAGATGATGGCTGTACTGTGTTTCAGTGGCAGGCTATTTGCATACAAAGAACGTTGCAAGTTCCACCCCAAAAGTACCGAAAAAGTTCCTCAGTTGGTTTGCTACTTTAGCTACTGATCTTTCGGTACTGGTACTTTACTAGAAGTCAAGTTGTGATGGGAAAACACTTAAGCCCTTAGTGTTCTCCACATTCAGGGCCAGATTGTTATCCACGGACCACGCTGTCAGCCACTCTGCCACTACACTCTATGCAGTTTCATCACTGTTGTTGATCAGACCCACCACTGTACTGCTGTCTGCAAACTTGATGATGTGGTTGGAGACGTGAGTCTCAGAGCAGCCATATGTCATCAGGGTCAGTAGCAGTGGACTGTGGACACATTCCTGTGGGGTACTGGTGCTGAGTGTGACAGGTCTGGATATTCTGTCACTTCTCTGAACAGGTTGTGGCCTATCAGTTACAAAGTCCAGGATCTAGTTGTAGAGGGATTTGCTGCAGCCAGGTGTGTCTGGTTTTATAATGAATTTCTGCCTGATGATAGTGTTGAGTGCTGAGCTAAAGTCTACAAACAGCATTCTGATGTAGAGCTCTGTTCTTGTGATCCAGGTGGGTCAGTGGTAGACGGAGAGCAATGGATATGGCGCCCTCTGTGGATCAGTTTTGGGAGTAGGTAAACTGAAGGTGATCTAGTGAGGTGGGGAGGCAGCCTTTGATATGGATCATGACTAGTCTTTCAAAGTACATAAAGATAAGAGATGTAAGTGCCAAAGGACAGTAGTGGTTTTTAGTTCTGTGACTGCTGACGTTGTGGAGCAGGAATGATCATTGCTGTTTTGAGGGATGGAGGAACAACAGCCTGGCTTAGGGAGATGTTGAATGAAACAAAAAAACTATGCTATTCTCTTATTACACCCAAGATTGCTGCTAATACATAATGAACAGACAGACACACCTCTCATGATGCTCCACAGTCATAAAGTCATACACACCAGAGTTCCACAGGTACACTTATGTTTGTCATCTATTAATTAGTTTTTTGGCGAATAAAGCTGATTCTGATTAACATTTTTATTATGATAGACATTAAAACATGAACACAGATATAATTACACTTCTGCCACATTTCTTTGGAAATTGCAAAACTTACAGAGGCAAGTTTTGATCCGAGATAAGCTGGAGTGGTGTAGTCAGCCCACATGTGGAGCAATATTGCACGTAAAACACATGCAAGCTGCTTACTGCACATGAAATATGCAGTGTTTGCTTTGTATTCGAGGGATGTGCTAGACTGCATCTCTGGGAATGTTATTGAAATGATGCATTGTTCTGCCGAGATTCACTGTGCATACAGACACACCTGTTTGCTATACAAACATGCAATGCACATATTGCAATGTCATAAAATATAACGCAGTGTCAAGACGGTGCATTGCTGAAGGTCTTGGTGGGACGCAGGGGACCTGTTACGACACACATGACACACAGGTTGCGTCTAGAGAACCACTTTAGCAACAATGAGTACATTTTCTTGATGGATTTCTCAGCTCTACAAATTACGATTCACCAGAGATGTACTGTAAAGGAAGCACATGTACTTCGTTACTGTACTTAAGTAGGTTTTTTTCTGGATTTGTCCTTTACTTCATGTCTATAAGAACTATATGGGACGAGGAGGGGGACATGTTTTGAAAAATGCCATTGTCCCCCACAACAGCTCGCTGGATCTCTGCTATCCTAATGGCACTGTATTCTCTCACCATGCCCGCTATCTGCTGCTTGTGTGTCAAAAGTAGCTCTCTCCCATCAGTATGAGGCAGTGGCACTGTCCTGACAAAGCAAAGGTCATCAATTTATCAAGAGATAGTACTGGGTCACAGGTTCTACTATTTCCAGTAAACTGAATAAATGTGATGTTGCACATCATACAGAAGTACAAGAAATGTGGGATGAGATACCTGTTCTCATTCCTGAATGTGTGTATTATAGATGCCACCATAGATCGTGTCACCTAAGGCTGCACCCGCCAACCAGCTTTAGCCAAACACCGGCCATGGTTGATAACATGCTCCACCCCTGCTCCTGAGCCCCTTTGTCCTCCGTGTGCTCCTCTCTATCTACCCCTGCCACTGAGCCCCTTTGTTCTCCGTGTGCTCCTCTCTATCTACCCCTGCCCCTGAGCCCCTC